GGGGGCAAAGATCGAAACTGATTGATTTTTTCCAATTCAGAAAAAGAGCTGATCCGAAAGAGACGTGAAGAGCTCAAGCATGCTCAGGACATCCGCGAAATGTATGAGAGTAAGTTGAAACGGACCAACAAAATGTACTCCAAGCTGACCGAATGTATGAACGAGTTGCTACTGAAAGAAAAGGTATCGATCACTCCAATCGATATATTGATAAGCCTTCGCTACCTCATTTTCAGGAACTGGACCAGCGACTGCGAATGCTTGATGAACAACAACGTTACTATCCATATTTGTATCCAAGCACAAGCCGACCTACTGTAGTTCGCGCTGGACCACGAACTATGAGGGGCTCAGAGCAAGAGTACGGTAGCTTTTCACTTCGTACTTCACTGTTTATATTACGGTCATTACAGTATCTACTGCACCGCAGTCGACGCTTCTTACGGTATGGACGTATCGTCAAGTGAGGAGGAACTACCTGAGTATGTTCGCGGCTCCCCGTATAGATGTAGTCAGGCCAGTAGGTGGGTGTATCAAAATTTTGAGCAAACTAGGTGGCTTATTTTGTAAGCCTTACGTACGGATGGGTTGCAAATGCCGTGCCTCACGTCAAGTCCATAGCTTGCCGTGCCAGCACCGTGCTAGTATATCCTGGCACGCTGCTGGCACGTTGGCAACTATGGGCGTTTTGAGTCAGTGAACAAGCAAAGTAAAATTGTGATTCCAGTTCATCCGGCTTCCCCTCATCCGTCTCAGCCACATTCTCGCGACAATCCTCATCTCGCAGTTCTGCTGGCATGCGACGTCGTGACAGTGCCTTGCGCGAATCGCCCGCACGAGGCCACCATAGTCGTAAGTTTTCACCATCTTTGGTGTGATTGTCGTAAAAAAAAGTTCATGTTCAGCCTTCTCTCGTAGCCCTTACATGCGGCATTCCTCTTCTTCGCAACATTGTTCCGAGCTTGTTCGGAACTCACCAGCACGGACCAGTGGAATGTCTGAAGACAGTGGTGTACATATGTGGAATGAACCTCCTGTGCTTCAGGGAGGACAACCAGTAGGTGTCATTGATACCTTTTCCGTGATTGGTCAAAATTAGGAAGGTTCTCATGTGCTCGCTTATGATTGGCTATTTCCAGGTTGTCTACTCACAGACCATATTCCGTAATGTGGATGGTCGTTGGTCAGATAGTCGAATAGTACAGCGAAGGAAACCAAAGCGTTCAACAAACACAAACTTCCAACGGGATAGTCCAGCTCGAATACCGCAAAGTAGGTCCAAGCCCTTGATTTTTGTACGGCATGCGCACCCCGGAAGACATTCTCAGGGAAGAAAAAAGCGGGGTTTGCCACAAAAGGGCGTGGCCAGGAGATCTCTAGAGCTCTTCTTAAATCATTATGTTTCAGGTCGTTCCAAACAACGAGCTTCCTATCCATCGCCCATGCATCTAGATCTGGAAAGTTGCTGTACGTGTAACAATGAGAATTGCCCCCGACAATTACGGTATGTTCCTGCGTCTTACTGTAGCATTTCCATCAATCAGCTATCGACTAGGGCCCGTTCAATGATCCATGAACGTTTATCCCATTCACCGACGTCTTGCGAGGATCCAACCGAACTGAGCGTTACAAATCTGCCGGCATCTACTTCTTACGAGGAGGCACTTCGACATGCGGCGGATTTACCATCTTCATCGTCTGAACATCGTTTGGCTACTGTAGTTGAGCCAACGTCTTCGAAAAATATGGGGTAGGTCTGCTGCTGGACAAGAGCACTGTTTTTTCCAGGAGACCCAACTCAAATACTCATTTCAGCTATACAAATCCAATCTTCATCTCACCCGTCACCTCATTTGACCATCCAATGTCATCACCCGAATCACCAACAAGTCCGATATCGCCCATAAGTCGAAAACCATCTGGACAAATGGCCAACGTCGATCCAAATATCAATTTGTTCTCGCTTGACGATGATAATTCTCACGAGCGCAAAGAACATAATCAGTCGGACGCATCGGGAGAAAATAGCACGGATGACGAAAAAGACGAAGAGAATGGGTATATATTCGGAATAATTGATTGGCATTTCATAGTTGAATTGTTTTACTTTTCCAGAAATGTCTTGGATTCATCACTGGATTCACAGAAAGCTTTTAGCGCTTTGACAAAAACCAGCAGCGAAGAGGACAGTTCTGGGAAACGGTAAGTATATGGCTATGAGAAAAAAACTGAAAATGGGCGTGGCGACGGGCGGGGCTCTCTAGTCTAGTATAACAGTGGGGGGAGCTAACCAGTCTCAAATGAGGGGCGGGGTTAGCCAATATATGATGGCAATGGGCGGAGCTAGACAATCTTCAGTGGTAAAGGGCGGGGCTAGCCAATCCACTATGTCAATGAGTAGAGCTAGACAATCTTCTGGTAAAGGGTGCGTCTAGCCAAACTAGTATGTCAATGGACAGGGCTTGATAATTTTCAATGGTAAGGGGCGGGACTAACCAATCTACCATGTCAGTGGGCCGAGCTAGACAATCTTTAATGGCAAGGGGCGGAGCTAGCCATTCTAGTACGACGATGAGCGGAACTAGACAATAACGGTAAGGGGCGGAGTCAGCCATTCTGGTATGACAATTGGCGGGTCTGGTCTGGAATGGTAAAGAGCGGGGCTAGACAATGTAGTATGACAGTGGGCGGAGCTAACCAGTACATGCACGGGGTGGGGCTAACCAGATTTGTCCTGATGGGGTAAAAGATTTTGCTTTCCAGAAATTCTTGCTTTTCCCACACTTTTTTGACCCGCGAATAATTTAGGAAACGCGAATTAATTATGCTGACGTCCTCGTCAACCATGGCTTCATCATTGGAACGATCTCTCGAACAAGGCGCTATGCATTCCGATGGACTTAGCGATAAGGAACGTCGCGTACGGGCTGTCAAAAACACAATCCGCGGACATCGGCGGACACAATCGGTATGTGGAGAATTTCGGAAAATTCGCAGTTTTCTGTGAAAATTCTGTAAAACCGTAATTTTAGCCGTTGCAGAATCCGCAATCCGTCATCATGTCGAAAGTGGACGAAACCAGCTCGGAAACCGATTCCGACGACGCTGTCGACATTTAGCCCCGCCCCAAGTTTGGCGGGGCGCACTACGAAAACTAATGTGAACTTGAGGCTCCGCCCCCCATCTCACATTCTCTATTCAACTTTTCTGAATATCAAAGAAAAGTTTACAAT